ACATAAACACACATGAAGGAGACATTAACACACCTGAAGGAGACATAAACACACCTCAGGAGACATAAACACACATGAAGGAGACATAAACACACCTGAAGGAGACTTGGAGGTCCTGCAGTCACAGTTTGTGTCTCTGAGTCTAACCTCAGTCCTCAGCCTCATCTCCCTTTTATACCCCCCCCTGTGTGGAGGTTATATTTACAGCCTGTTGGGGGGGGGGGTTGGTTTTGGACGCAGGACTGGGGGTCGAGTGTCTCAAATGATTCACATAGCGAACATAGCGGCCTTCAGATGGTGCAGCAGGAAATACTATCCAGTAAACAACCTTCACCAATATTATTATTATTGTTGTTATTATTGTTATTATGGAGAGGACTCTTTAAAGTAGAGACACTACATACTGATATACACCTGAACATCAGCAGGAGAGGACTCTTTAAAGTAGAGACACTACACACTGATATACACCTGAACATCAGCAGGAGAGGACTCTTTAAAGTAGAGACACTACATACTGATATACACCTGAACCTCAGCAGGAGAGGACTCTTTAAAGTAGAGACACTACATACTGATATACACCTGAACATCAGCAGGAGAGGACTCTTTAAAGTAGAGACACTACTGATATACACCTGAACATCAGCAGGAGAGGACTCTTTAAAGTAGAGACACTACATACTGATATACACCTGAACATCAGCAGGAGAGGACTCTTTAAAGTAGAGACACTACATACTGATATACACCTGAACATCAGCAGGAGAGGACTCTTTAAAGTAGAGACACTACATACTGATATACACCTGAACACCAGCAGGAGAGCATACTGATATACACCTGAACATCAGCAGGAGAGGACTCTTTAAAGTAGAGACACTACATACTGATATACACCTGAACATCAGCAGGAGAGACTCTTTAAAGTAGAGACACTACATACTGATATACACCTGAACATCAGCAGGAGAGGACTCTTTAAAGTAGAGACACTACATACTGATACGTTACAAGGATCTTTACAGGCCGCAGAACAATATAATTACAACAACAGCAATACAAATAAAGTATTTATGTTTACAGAACAAGGTAAACAAATAAACATTTGAATAATGAAGCAATAAAATAAACCTCTAAATATGCAGTCTATTGGTCGAACAGCTCCACTGGACTCAGTTATACAATACTTCTATATGTATATTATACATATCTTTCTTCTTCCTTTTTTTTTACCATGGTGTAATTATTTGTTTTGTTTGTTATTAACATTTCATCTGCACTGTTTCTTTGCTGCTGTAAATGTCTGCGGGCCAGATAAAGGATTGAATTGACCTGCTTCTCTGTCTGTGTTTCAGAGTGTTTAAGAAGGCCAGTCCCAATGGAAAGGTGAGTCCTCGTTTGTTTTTTTACACCTGCTCGCCCCCTGAAGAGAAATCTAAACACAAAGTCCTAGAAAAGCAAAAGAACAACAAAAAAATGCTGCAAAAAACCCCAGTAACTTACGAAAAAGTAAAAGAAAAACAAGTAAACGAAAGCAGTCACTGGAGCAGAAAGGTTTTGATGCTTTTCAGCAGGGCTCTGTGGAAATCAGTTTTTAAAATATCTATGAAGGACGGTTGATTGTGATTGGCTGTTGAATGTCCTGAAAGTTTCTGATTGGCTGTTGGAAGTTCTGACAGTTTCTGATTGGCTTTTAGATGTTCTGATGTTGACACGATTTGCTCTTAGATGTCATGACAGTTAATTCTGAGTAGTTTTTAGGTGCTGATGGTGGATTCTGATTGGCTGTTGGATGCCCTGACGCTTTCTGATTTGCTGTTGATTTTGTCATGGTTGATTCTGATTGGTCGCTGTGTTCCTCTCTCAGCTCACAGTCTATCTGGGGAAGAGAGACTTTGTGGACCAGGTGGATCTGGTGGAGCCCGTCGGTGAGATTCTTTAAATAAGTTAGAAAGCGTTTATTCAATTAATTTATATTATTTTATGTCGTTGAAACTCGTCCGTCCTTTGGCTGCTTGTTGACTTTCTGACTTTACTTCCTGCAGACGGCGTCATCCTGATCGACCCGGAGTACCTGAAGGAGAGGAAAGGTGAAACATGTCCATCAGAACTAATGTTTAACTGACTTTACTGTCCACCTCAGTGAATGTGTCTTTTGCTTAAGTACAGCAAAGCTACATAAGTAAGGGTAATGATCCTGCTCATTACACGGCTACTAAATAAACCAACAATTTGATAGACAGTACTGATTTAAAAAGGATTATATTGACGTCAAAAATATGTTATTGCTTCCACTAAGAAACTGAGCCACTGCCACCCCCAAACATAAATAAAACAACATAAAATAATATCAATATACAATATACAACAGTCCAAGCGGGTAAGTAACAGCAGACATTTAAATATCTTGTTTACTGAACTTTTAAGCCTATTTTTGTCCATCTTTAATAAGTTGTGGTGTTCCTCAGGGAAGCGTCCTTGGGCCTCTGCTCTTTATAGTAAACCGTGAAATATGAGTATCTGATTTTTGTTGTTTTTTCTTCCCGTTAGTGTTCGTGACTCTGACCTGTGCGTTCCGGTACGGTCGGGAGGACCTGGACGTCCTTGGGTTGACGTTTCGGAAAGACCTGTTCGTGGCGAACATCCAGGCGTTTCCTCCCGTGCCCGAAGAGAAGAAGAGTCTGACTCGTCTTCAAGAACGCCTGATCAAAAAACTGGGAGAACACGCACACCCGTTCACCTTCGAGGTATGAAACCATACTGTCAGGCCTCTCAGAATAAAAACTCAGCTTCAGGTTAGAAAGAACAAAAAAAGGTAATATTTTGGAAAACTTGGTGCAAAACAACCACAAAATGACCAAGTCTTCAAATGACCGCATGGAAACATAAAATGTGTAAAAATAGATGCAAAACAAACAAAAAATTCGAAATGTTGGACATCGTATAAAATTACCTTTAAGTGCAAAGCTACAGAAAATGGTTCTCACATTACCAAATGGAACCATAGTAAATACTATGCAAAATCACCACCAAATAAAAAGGAGAACATTTGGTGACAAACAACTACAAAATTACCATTAGGTGCTCAACTTTTAAAAAGAGTTGTCAAATAACCAAAAAATAAATGTAGTTGCGTAAAAATTCAAAAAAATGGGTGCAAAATAATCACAAAATGACCGAATGTTGCAGAAAGACTAAAAAAAAGTTGAAAATATACATTTACAGTAACAAAATATAAATCAGGGTATTATATATAAGTGTGTAAGGAATGGAATACCAAATATTAAATTGAATATAAATGTAAAATGTACAGAGAGATTTTAACCCTTTAACTGCCAGACCAAGAAAAAAGCTATGGAAAAATTATTTGTTTTCATTTTCTTATCAAATGGGCCACAAATAACCACAAACCATTTTTTTTGTTTTGACTGACCACACAGTTTTGTTTTTATGAGCCTCTACCAACTGGCCGAGCTGGCCTTTTATGGTAAAAGTGCATTTTCAACAATCATCATACACAGTACAGTATTTGTATGCATCAAACTCAAATAAAACACAAACTCAAATACATTTGTTTCTTTTATGGAAAATTAGCAATATGTACAATCAGATATATTCATAAAAAACAATCAATTATAATTGTAAAAAAAGAAAATGGAAAAAGTAATGTAAAGTGTCTTTCATAAAAAAAAACTTGCTCATCTTACTGTATGCTGAATTGGCCAAACAGGAAACACTGCCTAACAGCAATGTCTATATCTGGTTGCCTAATGTCATCTGGCACTTCGGCTGAATGCCATGCATGAAAGCTGCTTTATGAATGATTATCACTCTTTCACTCTGAGACTCATAAGGCAGTACTAGATTTAGTAATATTACATAAAAGTCATATTGCTAGTTTACCATAAAAAGCCAATTCGAACGATTGGTTGAACATATTTTCAAAAACATAATTACACCCTTGTTAAAACTTTTTTTGTGCATCAAATTATCTAATTATGTTCAGTAAGTGCTCTGACACTAACATATGTCAAAGGGATATGGTTACCTTACAAATGTTTACCAAAAAGAGTGATTTCTTCAGCAGCGATTTTTAGCATTGCCAACTTCCTCAGTGGAAGCTAGCTGAAGGGCTTTCTGTTCAAACCACAGTGACATCTAGAGGTTGTTTTGTGCATAACATGTCAACCAAAGGGTAGAGCTGGCTGAATCAGATTTCTTTTTTTTTTCAACAAGATATCAAGGCACAAAACGTGCTCTACCAAATGGTATTGCTGGCAGTTAAAGTTAAGCAGAGAGTTCTCTTCCAGAGGAGATTTGTTATAGAGAGTTATTGCAGTAGGCAGGAGTGTTTTCCTGTATTGGTCCTTGTGACAATGTGTAAATAACGTTATGATTATTTGTCCCTGACTGCAGATCCCTCTGAACCTGCCGTGCTCCGTCACCCTGCAGCCGGGCCCCGAGGACACGGGCAAGGTAAAACGAGACGCAAAAACCACCAGAACAAAAATGCAACATGTGGAAAACAACCTGCAAAATAACCTGAAATAGTTGGTAATGATGTGTTCACTGCTTCAGCACTGAATCAGACTCCTGAAATTAAGTCAGCGCTAAAAGTCCTCTGCTGTGTTTCCAGGCCTGCGGCGTGGACTTCGAGGTCAAGTCTTTCTGTGCAGAGAACGTTGAGGAGAAGATCCACAAGAGGTAAAAGTGAGGCGCACTAAAGAGATGAATTATGGATGAAAGTGAAACCCGGCGTGCATTAGCAGGTCGGACATGAATGCAGAGTGGTTCAGTAATAATGAGGAGTTTCTGTTGGACAGAAGGGCTCCCAATGGGATTCTCTGTGGGGTTCTGGATTAATACAGAACATAATCTCAAATGAGACTCACACGTTCAGTTCAGCAGGATAATCTCCACATATTAACACCACTTTATGATTTCTGAAGTAATAAGCTAACGTTGATGTTGTTGTTGTTGCTCATGTTATTATTTATGTTGTGGTTGCTTATGTTATTATTTATGTTGTGGTTGCTTATGTTATTATTTATGTTGTGGTTGCTCATGTTATTATTTATGTTGTGGTTGCTTATGTTATTATTTATGTTGTGGTTGCTTATGTTGGGCAGTGTCTCATTTCAAAGATTTCCCCTCCTCGACTCCTCGACTCCTCGGTCCTCCGGTAGTGACCCGGAAATGAATTTCAACGCGCCATGTTGAAGGACATCTCATTTCTCTAGAGGAGAGAGGAGAGAGGAGAGAGAGGTTCTGGAGGGCAATAACCGAGGAGAAGGAGGGGAGAGAGGAGGAGGAGGCTCTCTGGAGGAGCATACCGAGGAGAGAGAGGGGAGGACTTTTTAAAGTAGAGA